GAAGTGGGCATTCACCCACGAAAGCTTATGCTCCAATACTTCTGTTAGTCTTAAAGGTGCCACAGGACCCTCTGTTGCTTTTTACAGATTCAGACTAACACGGCTACCCCTCTGATACTTGCAAAATCCAAAACGTTTCTTCCAAATAGCTACGTGTAGCTAATAATTTCATTCACCATATGCTACTTCAAACTCCATTGAGAAGGTACTCTGTTATAGTGAACTCATTACCAAGGCCCATTGCCATCTTCAGACCATGAAGTTGGGCAACAGTTTAAAGCCACTTATCACAGAACCATTGACACCATATGGGAAATTCTGAAATACGATTGTACATGTACGTTATAGATATCAGGAGGTCTTTCGCTTACTGTGGAGCATGTTCCCATGAAAATAGCATCAATTTAAGAGTTCATCTGCTCCTGTAGCTACAGTAAATTAGTGCCGTGACCACCTCTTGACTACTGTGTGCAGTACTGGCCACCACACCACAAAAAGGATATTGCATAAGAACATAACAGCCACACTGGGTCAGACCAAAGGTCCATCTAGCCGAGGATCCTGTCTTCCGACAGTGGCCAATGCCAGGTGCCCCAGAGGGAATGAAGAGAACAGGGCAGTTATCGAGTGATCCATCCCCTGTCACCTATTTCCCACCTTCTGGCAAACAGAGGCTAGGGACACCATCCCTGTCCATCTTGGCTAATAGCCATTTACGGACCTATCCCCCATGAATTTATCTAGCTCTTTTTTAACCCTGTTATAGTTTTGGCCTTCAAAACATCCTCTGGCAAGGAGTTCCACAGGTTGACTATGCATTGTGTGAAGAAATACTTCCTTTTGTTTGTTTTAAATCTGCTCCTATTAATTTCATTTGGTAACCCCTAGTTCTTGTGTTATGAGAAGGAGTACATAACACTTCCTTATTTACTTTCTCCACACCAGTCATGATCTTATAGACCTCTATCATATCCCCCCTTAGTCATCTCTTTTCCAAGCTGAAAAGTCCCAATCTTATTTCTCTCCCTTCATACGGAAGCTGTTGCATACCCCTAAGCATTTTTGTTGCCCTTTTCTGAACCTTTTCCAATTCCAATATATCTTTTTTGAGATGGGGCAACCACATCTGCACACTGTATTCAAGATGTGGGCATACCGTGGATTTATATAGAGGCAATATGATATGTTCTGTCTTATTCTCTATCCCTTTCTTAATGAGTCCCAACATTGCAGATCAGGAGAGCTTGGAGATGGGTGACAAGAGTGATCAAGGGCCTGGAAAAACTGTCATATGAGGAGAGAAGAGACTGGGATTGGTTGCCTTAGAAACGAGACTAGAGGGGAATGAGTCTATAAAATAATGAATGGTACCCAGAAGGAGATCAGGAATTTTTATTCTCCCTGTCTCCTGACCCCAGAACAAGGGGATGCATCACATCAAACTAAAAGGTGGCAAATTCAAAACAGATTAAAGGAAATCCTTTTTCACACAATTTGTAATTGGACTGTAGAGCTCACAGCCAGAGAAAGTCATCGAGGCTAAGAACTTAATATGATCCAAAAAGATTGGGTACGTGTGGTTATCAAGCATATCATTAACTATAACAATTCTAGATGAGCAAACCTTCGGAAGGGATACTAAACCTCACGCTTCAGGGTTTAAGCTGGTCTTTTCTCTATTAGAGATCAGGATGATGCCTAATGTGGGCAGATTACCCCTCATTTACCCACTGCAGGGTTCTTACACCTTTCTCTGCAGCATCTTGTGCTGGGCTCCGTCAGAGACGGGATTCTGGACTAGGTAGACTCCGGGTCTGCTCCAGCCTGGCAATCCCTAAGTAATAAAACGGAGTAGGAGTATTCCCACTTTGTGAAGACCTTTGAGGTTTTCAGATGAATTGTTATAAAAGTGCTGAATTATTTCCCAGCTGAAGTCATGACTGGCCTGGGAGATGATTGCAATATTGGAGGATTTAGACTTCAGATAAGGAATAAACAGGAACAGATGTTTTCTTACAGATTCTGTTTTCATAGGAACTTCCCAGGAGTGGGTGGGTCAGCTTTTGTGGCCCGCATCATGCGGGAGGTCAGACTAGATGATCATAATGGTCCCGTCTGACTTAAGAGTCTGAGTCTATAAGTGATGTAGTTTATGTAATAAGTGTGGCTAAACAAAACAAGTCCTTATAAAACATCTTCTGGATAACTTTGAACATTTTCTGTACCAAGTCTTGATGTGACAGATGGGTCTGAAACTTTTGACACTAACAGAGTAGAAATAATTGTTTTGGTCTTTATCTTGATTAACACTAGTTTTAATCAAGTCTCTTCTCTCCCAGTCTCTTCTCTCCTCATATGACAGTTTTTCCAGGCCCTTGATCACTCTTGTCACCCATCTCCAAGCTCTCCTGATCTGCAATGTTGGGACTCATTAACACTAGTTTTAATCAAGTCTTTAGTGTCAGTATTACCAATACGCCTAGGAGCCCAAGTCATGGACTAGAACCCCATTATGCAGGGTGCTATATAAATACTGCCGAAAGAGAGTCCCTGTCCCAAAGAGTTTACAATCCAAGTATGATGAGGAAGAACAGGCGGATACAGACATGGAAACAATGAGGCCACATGGGTCACCTTGATGAGCAATGGTCTCACTACAGTTAAGCTGCTGGTGTGCGCATGGGGGCAGCATGGGAGGAAGCATGAAGGGACTTGTTTGAGAATTTAACTAGTGGTTGATGGATGCTGACCTCATGGGCCAATCGAAGGTGGGAGACTGAGCATGCCCAAGTACCTCATCAGGTAGAGGGAGGCCTTTATCATTCAAATCACCTGCTTGCCCTCAGGGAGTCTGATGCACAGATGAAAAGGTAATGTTATGGATGGGCAGCTGGAGTATTCCTTGGGGTCTGTCTTCACACTCTGCTGAACTTACCAAGAGCCAAGGAATTATGACAGCGTTTTTGTGAACTCAGACTATGGCCCAGTGTGTTTGATTCTGTGTAGACCTGTTAAATCTGCTGTGTCTGAAATCATCCCAACTTTGAGAGAGCCATGCTTATGGGGGAGTGTTCCTGGGCTGGACACTGTTCAGAATGCTCCAAAGCTGAAGTTCTGAGCAGACTAAAAATGCTTCCCCAGCCTCTGGTTCTTGTTTGTTGCATCATAACTGGCTCAGTCAACTCCTTTTGCTCGACTGACTGGCGAGAGCGGCTCCATGCTGTGGGTCCCATCCTCTGGTTTCACATCAATGATTTTATAGCATTTCCTCTGTTCCTTTAAAAGCTCTCTTGGAAAGGAACCATGGCAGCAATGGATATTTGCCCCTTTCAAGAGGGGGTTGGGGCTGCAACACAAGCAGAGAGATGGACACAGCTAGGGCTTTGACCAAGCTCATGAGACACTGGTTGTACAGTCCTAGTGGCTTATACTAGCTAAACCCAGTAGGTTCCTAGTCTGGCTGGAGATGGCACAGTGGCTGATCCATCAAGCTAGCTACCTTTCCACATATGATCACTTAGCACCACAGCACCAATTTGCATTCTAGCTTAGGGTTTGTTCTTGTTAGCCGGGCTGCCGAGGGTGGAAATTGAGTAGTTTGAAGTCTTGCAAGTGGTGTCTATTGTGCCCTTCTAACTGACCAGAAAATCATGTAACTTTTTAATTGGAGGTAGTTTGGTGAATCACTTTAAATTGCTCCCCCAAACAACTTGATTACTTTCTGTAGTCCAGAAATGAAGAGCTGGCACCTTCCGAGATCCGATTGATATTTCAGACTCTGTGAGCCATTAGAGTTCTGTGAAATCAAGTTTCTGATATGGAATATTTAAATCTACAAGATACAGTCACAGCTTCCAGCAGGGTTTTTAAAAAAAAATCCACCCTTCCATGGGGAGAAAGGGACGCTTTCCCAGGCTGGGGGCATCATGTTTTGAAGAATCTGGGGTTTTCCTGGGGGAGGGAATGTTTCTAACCCTTCTGGGCTGTAAGTGAACAGTGTCACTTGGCGCAGTGCTGTCTTCTCAAGTCGGCAGGCACAGCTACCGCATGTGCCACTATTGATAGCTTTGCCCAGCTGCAGCACAGTGAAAACGGGGGATGGACAAGGCCTAGCTGGCATCAGTGGGTGGTTTCACCCTGCTAGGTCCAAAGCAGAGGCTGAGGCGAGGGCTAGAGTTCACTACCCCTTTCCCACCTGTTTTAACAACAGCCAGGTGGTTCTGAGATTCTACTTCACCTAAAGGGAGAGAATTGCTCCTGTGTACTTATTCTGTAAAGGTCAACGTTACAACGGGTCCACAGTTTCCTCACCGCCACTGAGCCCCTTGCCCCCCCACCCCAAAAAACAAACAAACAAATGCTGGAGAATATAAAGTCATGTTAGTCTGAACATTACCAGATGGTTGAGGCTATTCCTGATTCTTAGGCTTCAGTCTGAAGCAGGAGTGTCTTAACCACTTACCTGGAGCTTTGGCGTATTCTGACCTTGGTCAGCTGCAGGGTGCGTGTGGTGCTCGAGCTACTGCCCTCTAAGAATCAAACATCAAGCAAGTAATGGTTTGTTGTTGTTTTGAATGCAGTGTTGAACAGCACAAGCTCTTCCTGCTGTACCCTGACCCCTCACCTCTGGTTGTTCTTCTCACAGGTTTGCGGGGGAGATAAGCCTTACATTGCTCCATCGGACCTAGAGAGACAGCACCAGGGTTTTAAAGAGTCGGCTGTCAAACAGTTCTGTTCTGTGAAAAAAATGGGAGGAGAGGAGTTCTGTCGGCGCTACCAGGACCAGCTTGAAGCGGAGCTCGATGAAATCTATGCAAACTTTGTGAAGCACAATGATGGCAAAAACATCTTTTATGCTGCTCGTACCCCTGCCACTCTGTTTGCTGTTATGTTTGCCATGTATATCATCTCAGGACTGACTGGCTTCCTTGGTATGAACTCCATCGCTAGCCTGTGCAATCTCATCATGGGGCTAGCGCTGATATCCCTTTGTACTTGGGCATACGTTAAGTACTCTGGGGAATTCAGAGAAGTTGGAACAGCCATTGATCAAATCGCTGAAGCACTATGGGAACAGGTTGGTATCTATTTCACTATGAAAGTGTCCTTTCTTGGTCGAGCTTGCCAATCACAATTCCTGTTTAATGCTGTTAATCAGAAAGGGTTCTAGAGCCGAATAAAAGAATCCTAGTTCTTCTGGAAGGTAAAATGAACTCAGAAGTGTAGACATTGGGTAACTCTCAAGGAGGATACCTTGGAGAAATCAGACTATAAAGCCAGCCCAGGATATCATCCAGTGTCTAATTATCTGAGGTCTTTGCTGGCACTAAGTTCTGAGAGTAGCACAAAGGTGAAAGGATTTTTGTTAAAAATCCTTGTTGATTACTTCTCTGAAAAGTAAATTTAAAAAGCTGGTGAAGGATTCTTAGAGAAGTAAGTTAAAGTTGTACATCTTCATTCCTGATATGGTGCATGTGAGACTCCATCGATTTATTGGTGCAAGTGCTCTGACAACACAATACTGCCCGGAATCACCTCTGTATCGGACCCCTCTTGCTGTTGGATAGCGTGCATGGCACTGACGAGAGGTTAAGTAAAGACTGCAGGGAAGAAAATTAGAGGTAATGAATACCTGCAAGGAGTCCAGCTTGCAGTAGCTTCCACAGGAGGAATGGCTGTGCTGTCTCATCTTGGGAAAACAGACGGGTTTAAACGTTACTAATAACGTTTTGAGTAGCATAGTGGCTGGTATAGTTGCCAATGTAAAAATGTTTGCCGGAACCAGTGGTTCTCAACCTGTGGCCCAATCAGCGCACAGCTGTGGCCCATGTGACAGCCTCAGGGCCATACAAGTAATATATATGTTGTGTGGATGTGGTCCATATAACACATAGAAAGCTGCATATGTGGCCCACAATAGTAAATAGGTTGAGAACCACTGGCTGGAACAATTGGCCTTTTAAAAGCCAACATAGGATATGATCTTACATCAAGGTAGCAAATATGGTAGATGAATTTTCATTCAACTCTTAATCTGGGAACATGTAATTTTGCCTTTATTGCCTCAAGCCAATCTTGTTGCTACTTTATCTGATTGGCCAACTGTATGGGTCCAACTTGGCGGTTCGCATATAGGATTTTTGACGGCTTTTCAGAGATTGAATAGGAAATGCCTTTAGGAAAGGTTAGCTCTAATACCTATAGTGTGGTGGAAGTGAAACTTCTTGGATGTGATGCAATGACTTGTGTTGAGATCTCAGATGAGAGATGTGATGCTAAAAAGTGACAAGCAAATACTTGTATGAGGTAGAAAATCAATACTTAAAGCCTCACAATGGAAACTGGTTGTTTAAATACTGAATCTTGGTTCAGGATTACTGTATGTAAAATGGTACGGGGCAATGTGCAGGATAGGAGTAATACGGTGATAAATCTTTGTTCTCAACTATGTAAGTTACCTTTGACAGATTTTCTCTTAAGTTGCAGGAAGCAAAACTAGACCATAGGGTTGTAATTTGAGGAAATCTGTTAAATTCTCGTAATTTACTTTCTATGTCCTAATTCCGGAAGCTTTGAAACAATCTATACCCTCCTGCAGTGAGATATAAATTCTGACTTCAGAATAGTTTTGTCCTAGCTTGAAGTGGCTTCCTCGAGTACAGACGTCTTCAGCGTCACATGTAAAACTGGGGTTTCTAAGCATGCGGTTGGGTCGTCTCTCCAAGGAAGAGACCAGGTCATAGTAAATCAACACTTAAGTTTTGCCAGCAGAGCTATGTTGGTTCAGGGTGCGTGGAGGAAAATCACACCCCTAACTGACCTAGCTATGCTGACCAAGACTCCGGTATAGCTGCAGTTATACTGGCATAAAAGTCTTTTGCTGGTGTCACTTTGCTTGGGGACTCTCTTGCTGGTGAAAGCTCCATTCCAGCTAAGAGGGTTTGTCAGTACAACTGTACCGACTAACCCTTTCTAGTGTAGACAATGTGACGGGTTCGGTCGCAGAGACCCCCTTGGGACTGTCATCTGATGTGCTGAAATTACCTCTGAGCCCGTTTTTCCTGCCAGCTTGGGACTCCAGAACCCTGCCTTGTTGAGCCAGACACGCCAGCCTGCTGCAACACAGACCCAGGTCTGATCCACGCCCCCAAAGTTGCAGACTTTAACCAAAAATTGCTCAGCAGGTCACCTATCTCCAGCACCCAGATCCCAATGGGATCCAAACCCTAAATAAATCTGTTTTACTCTGTATAAAGCATACACAGGGTAAACTCATAAATTGTCTGCTCTCTATAACACTGATAGATGTGCACAGCTGTTTGCTCCCCCAGGTATTAATCACTTACTCTGGGTTCATTAATAAACAAAAGTGATTTTTATTAAGTATAAAAAGTAGGATTTAAGTGGTTTCAAGTAATAACAGAACAAAATAAGTCACCAAGCAAAATAAAACAACACGCAAGTCTAAGCCTAATACATTAAGAAATTGTTTACAGGTAAATCTCAGCCTCAGAGATGTCCCAGTAAGCTTCTTTCACAGACTAGACTCCTTCCTAGTCTGGGCCCAATCATATCCCCTGGTACAGACCTTGTTAGTTTCAGCAGACATCTTAGGTGAAAAGCAGGGGCTTTCTCATGAATGGGACCCCTCTTTGTTCTCTCCCATCCCCTCTTCTAGCTTTGGCACAAGGCGGGAATCTTTTGTCCCTCTGGGTCCCCACCCCTCCTTCTAAATGGAAAAGCCCCAGGTTTAAGATGGATTCCACCATTCTTTCTGGGCTGGCTGAACACAGGAAGGCTTGCAAGTAAACAGAGCCATTTACAACCAATTGTTCTAGTCAATGGGAGCCATCAAGTTTCTAAACCATCATCAATGGCCCACACTTTGCATAATTACAATAGTACCTCAGAGTTGTACTTTATATTTCTAGCTTCAGATACAAGAATTATACATACATACAAATAGGATGATCACACTCGGTAGATTATAAGCTTTGTAATGATACCTTCCAAGGGACCTTTTGCATAAAGCATATTCCAGTTACATCATAGCCACAAAAAGAACAGGAGTACTTGTGGCACCTTAGAGACTAACATTTATTCGAGCATAAGCTTTCGTGGGCTACAGCCCACTTCTTTTTGCGGATACAGACTAACACGGCTGCTACTCTGAAACCTATCATAGCCACACTTGGCGTATTTCCATAAAACGTATGGAGTGCAACATCAGACAACACCTGTCATTGCCATTGGGACTGTGCATTGTACTGTGAGATAAGAACCAGTTCCTCTCTGATTGGTAGCCTAATGCCTGGCTTACACTTAAAAATGAGATTGACCGATTTGTGTTGCTCAGGGCTGTAGTTAGTTCAATGTAGCCGCAGCTACTCTGATGGAAGAATTCTTTCTCAGAGATGGATTAGCTACATCGGTCATGGATGGGTTCTTCCCAATGTAGGAAACATCGACACTATGGATCTCTCAGGGCATAGCTGGAGCTGTGTTGCTGCAGCAGCGGTAGTGTAGATGTGCCCTTAATCATTCTGAAACTGAAGGTGGATTCCTTTGCCCAGTGTCTCATGCATGTTCTTGCTACTGACTTCTAAATCTCTCTGCTTTTCTCTTTTCTCTTTGCTTCAGAGGAATCCCAGGAAGGTGAGAAATTAGCAGCAATTAGTCTTATTAATTAGTTGCCTTTATTTTCCTACTGCTTGCTACGAGTCCTTTTCCTAACAGCTGAATTCATATTTTAGGTGTGTTCCAAACTCTTTGAAGTTGTTAGACGTCGAATGATTCGCCGTGTTCTTACATCAGTGCAACGACAGCGACTCTCGTCCAACAATAACAAGAAGAAAAATTAGACAGTATTTTTACATTTCTTTCTGTATCTGAAGTGTTCACACTTACACATATAGGACAATAGGCAGGACCGTCTGGGCCGGTCTGCATAAATGCTGTAACCCTACCAGATTGATGCTGCTTATAGGGTATGGAACTGCACATCCATCTTCTAGGAACTGTAAAGTGGTTTGAATTCAGTGAAATGATGCCGTGTAGGAGGAAATTGGTTTTGTTCATGATTCACCTCATTACAGTAGCACCACAACTCTTTACCATTTCCTTTGTAGTGCATCACGTTTTCGTTTTTTATGTTTCAGATTCCAAGATCTTAATTTTTTTCATTACTTGAATTCTTGTATTTTATATATTTTAAAGGGTTATTTGATTTACCTCATCTTTATTTTGCACATTTCTCATACCACAGGTATTGAAGCCCCTGAGTGATAATTTGATGGAGGATAACATGAGGCAGTCTGTAACAAACTCTATCAAAGCAGGCCTCACTGAACAGGTGTCTCATCATGCCAGGTTAAAGACAGACTGACAATTCATCTCCTCTTCAACTCTGCCCTCTCATCCTAGACATGCTGTACAATGAGAACTCAATACAAATAAACCAAAGTTTACAATCAACTATAGATGTAGTTTAGTGTGACTGGCTTCACTGATTGGTGCCATCAAGTATGAAAAATAAGTGTCAACGTTAAGCATTCTCTTTAATCTGCTTCTAAGACAGACCAGTGCCATGGAGACTGGTAAATGCGGGGACTCTAAATGCAGTTGTTGTGTGTTGTGCACGTATCCCAGGGTGAGTGACTTTCCTCCTTTTCTGAGAAGGTGCAGTGTCTGGTGTGCAATGGAAATGTATCCTCTGTACAAGGATATTTCAGGGAAGTAATTGTCAAATGTGTACAAGGAAATCTTGTAACTGTGTGTTTAGTCACCCAATATCCCATTGGAACTTTTAACTTCCGGAGTATTTATAAAATCACTGTATCAAGAGTCAGACTGAAATGTCAGTGCTAGCTGGCATCAGTGAAGCCAATATTGAGCCACTGTATAAAGATCTTGCTTTACTGCTTTTTACACTACTGTTCTCCGAATGCATGTTGGTTCCCTACAAAAAATGACATTAGAACTAACTATTGTAACCAAGGAAGTGATTCAAAGTGTACATTTGTCTTGCCTTTTTTGATTCACAAACTTTGTCCTACAGGAGATGCATATCAGAAAACTGAGCTGTCTTTTTCTGCAGTTTCGCCTTCATGTATCTAATACGCCATTAATTTTACTGGGGGGACGTTCCATCCAAAAAAAGTTGCCTACAGCTATGAAGCAATGAGTTAGGACTGTCTGTACAGCGTGTTTAGTTTTTATTTTTAAGAAGTCAGATAGGGCGTGTATATGAAATATAAATATATAAATACAATTTTGTATCAAAGTTTTGTAGTTTATGGCAAAACCTGGTTCTGTGGTAGGCTAAGTACAGTCCCTGTGACGGAATGCTTGTGGCTCATGTAAACGTGTGAATGCATAAACGGTTTGACGTTTTTGATATATTTGTGATATTTACCTGCCTTGAGCACTGCGATCTCTCACCCCCTGGGAAATCAATGGGAATGTTGGTTGTGAAACTTCTTGTCCTCTGTTGCATTTTAAAGTTATTTCCTGTAATTTATTTTCAGTACATGATTAAAATAAGTTGTGTATATATGAAATGAAACTCATCTTTCTTCTCTAAGAAATGTTGGTGTGTCTGTATTCCACTAGATAAATCATGTCAGCTATTGACTCTGAAACGATAAAACAAGAATTGCACAAATGTGCTCCAGCTTTTAATGAAGATGAACGTGAAAGTATATTGCTCCCCTGTCATGCTGGCATGTCTCTCTTTGAAAGAGAACACTTTGTCTAGCAAGTCTTGTAAATAAATAAATTAAAAAATTGTGGTGGTATAAGATCTCATCCTAATTAATACACCCCTACCCTGATATAACACGAATTTGGATATAACACAGTAAAGCAGCACTCTGGGGGGCGGGGCTGCGCACTGCGGTGGATCAAAGCAAGTTCGATATAAGGCTGTAAGATTTTTTTGGCTCCTGAGGACAGCGTTATATTGGGGTAGAGGTGTAGACCTCATAAAGCATGCTACTTCACTTGTTGAGTTGCATGTAAGTTTCCGAACTTCATAGATTGTATTTTTCAGAAACTTTTTTATTATGGATTGTGACCTTCAATTCCATATGTATTAAACTGATATGAACTAAAATGTTCTCAAATATATAAAATAAGCCTAAAGAAGGGTAACTAAATAGCATCTTAACTATTTCAGTTTCACCTGAAAATGATCAGTTGTGCAATGGATCGTTTTGCATTCATCATTACTTACCTTGTAGCAAAAGTGTGAAACTGATTGATTAAAGCTTCTAGAACTTCCTTTTTCAGACAAATCAAGTTAAATCTAAAAATATGATGCACTAGGCATAAGGGAATTCTGCCATGATTGTTTCATGCAATGGGCAATAAATTCAGATGGGAAACAATTGGAACATCAATGTAGCTTGTCTATTTTTTTCTGGAGTAGCAGGTGTTTTGAGTCTGGAGAAAGTCTTTAACTCAGAGAAGGTGTGTGAGGTAATCTTTTATTGGACCAACTTTTGGTGAAAGATGAGCCTTCAAGCTACAAAGAACTCTAACTAAAACAGGCATATACATTGGGTTATGTGGTTTCTTTAAAATTTAACAAGATTGGATGCAGGACAGCAAATAGAACATTTGAAGGGGTTTTTTGGCTGGTGTTTGACAATCTAGTAAATTACAACAAAGATAAACGAGACTTCTACAATGCTTCACAATGGTGCCAACTTACTCCATCATCGCACTCCCTTCTTTCTGAAGGATTGTCAAGCTCACTTCACAGCCCCTATAACACTGCTGGCAGCGCTGACCATCAGGTGGTGGTGGTGGAAGGATGTATGTCACCTACAGCAAAACTGTCCCAAACCCATCTGCTCCTTGGATGTCTTGCTAAAAAAACCTATACACAAATGTTAGCCTGATGAGATCCTAAAATAGTTGAACGACTGCAGGCAACACTTCTTGCATTCCCAGTTCTGGGTCTAAAGTGGAAGATTTGATATGCCTTCTACAGTATAGGGGTTTGACTTCTGCATGATCGACTTTGTTTCAGAAAACTTGTCTTAAACCCACTGAGTAAGTTAAACTTCTGTTTATTTCAGCATTCCTGAACTGCTTTCCATCTCTGTACCAATACTTAGTCTTTCATCCAGGTTTCTTCAAGAGGAATTCTGTAAATATCAACTGGCTTGTTATAAGCTACCATAAGCCTTTCACCAGAAAGTGTTTTAATGCTGAAGCTTCCCCTCCCTTCAGCTGGAGGCCCTTTTGTAGGTGGGCTGCTTGTATCCAAGACTGTTGGGCAGGGGTAAAGTGGAGCATGGTGCCAGCTGTAGGTACAGGCCTTCAACTTTTATCTCCCTTTTTGTGTCAAGTGGAGAAAGCTACTGCTGAAGCCAGTTTAGCTGACCTATAACACGAGTGTTGCTCTAACACTCAAGAAAAACCTTGTGTGATGTTCTAACTCAAATTCCAAACCGATGTCCATCTCTCAACCCATGTCGTGGAGCCAAGGATCCAGCAGGTGCTTGAAGTGGCCTCTTCAGCACTGCCAATTTTTGATATTTATTTTTATTTATTTTAAAGCTCCAGCTGTCATGATTGCACCAAAATCTCAGCTGCTTAAATCTTGTAGCACTCCTGGCTGGGAAGTAAAGCTTGGACCTGTGACCTCAAAGGCTCTAAAACTTTTGTGTATTTTAGAAATGATTTTTAAGCTTGTCTCCTGTTTCTAAGTAGCTGAGTACCTCTCCCTCTCTCTAAGGGTGCTGTGAGGACAATACAGCACTGTTGGGCAGTGTAGCACTGTTGCACAGAGATGAAGGGCTCTATTGAGGTCACATTGTCCAACAGCCCAAGGATTAGCACAATTACATGGGATCTGGAAGCCCTGTTTTCAGATCCTAGCTTTGCCTGATTTGGAGCAGGGACTTCAATCAGGTTTTCCACATCCCAGGTGCACCTCCTAACCACTTTGCTGTGGGTAGGTGTCTAAGACCTGTCTTAGGTACCTAACTTTAGCAGTGGTGGTGTGACTAGATCACAACCAAAGTTAAGTGCCTAAATACCTCTGAGTGGTGAGTAGGCCACACCCCTCCCTCATGCAGCTCCACGCTCCGTTTCAGTGAATCCCATTCTTGTGTGCCTGCCTCATGTTGAGTAAGCTATTCTAGGTCTGAAATCACCTGCTTCTAAAGCTTGTCAAATCTCAACAGATGTATAAATGTGTGCAGGTATAACTGAGAGTGGATTCTTGTTACAATCTCTTTATCCTTAATACAGTTGAGTCATCCTCAGTTTAATTACTGAAAGTTGCAGAACAATTAATTCTAGATACTGTATTGAATGTGAACATTAGGGTGCAAACAGATTCTGAATGCCTAGTTGCCACTAAACATGTTCTGAAGACTGAACAGTGGTGGTGGAACTGACAGTAGCTACCCTTTGCTTTGCAGGGTTGTGCATGCTTCCAGGCTCCTACTGAACTTATCAAAACACCTCTGGCCAGCAACACCGAGTAGCAAGAAACATCTTCAGCAGGCTAGACTGAAGTCTATTGCTATTCCTTTTGGATTGAGTGTTTGCACCTGTCATGGATACTTTAAATGGGAATCCAGACACCCCCACCCTCACTGAGAATCACAAGTGCTGAGCTGCACCTGTTTCTCTGATGTCTGCATCAATAGAACAGAGGAAGAGGCATAACTTAAGTTGGGAGCAAAGCAAGGGAATCCCTACCTGGGATTTTTCTGGTAGTTTTAGACTGTCTCAGAAGATGATTTAGGTTTACCCAGTGGGCCAAGGAGTAAACTTCCCATGCTTCTATAAACAGCCTGCTGAAGGCAAAGTGTGTTGTCCTGCTGTTAAGCTCCTAAACTGAAATGGATTCCTTTCTGAAAGGCTTAGAACAGCATGGTGGGTGACCTTCTCTCAAAGGTCAGGGCTGACTGCTGATGTGGAGGACTGCAGCCTAGAACCAGTAGGCAGAGACCCTCCTTCTGCCTCGGCTACACCAGCAAGGCTCATAGCAGTGATGGGACCCTCTAAGAACCTAATTGAGCTGAGGATATTGTTCCCTTAGAGTACAGGACTAAGCATTTTCTAGAACTTTATTTCCCAAAACTGTCCAGCTGTTTACTCACTAATCATCCCAGCACCCCTGTAGAGTAGGGGGTAAGTATTACTCATTTTACAGATGGGGATGAGACTGGTGAAGTGACCGTCCAATATCTGATCCTACTTGTATGATACAACTGAAGACCTCCCTGCATGTCCCTAACTACCTGATTTTGTATGTTTGATGCCAGCTCTGAAAGAGTAGTGAACTCCAAACACAGTTAGAAGCCTGACTCTTATTTCCAGTACATTCTGAGGACTAAGACTTGAAATTGAAATCCAAAACCTGACCCTGGAGCCAGATTTCAGTCTTTCACCCAATAGAACGTAAGATCTGCTCGCACTGCAGCTTACAGCTCATGGTAGTGATCACGTGCAGTGCACTGAATAGGAAGTGCCCATCCCCTATGGAAATGGTTTACAGCCCTTGGGAGCAGCTGGTGGTTAGGTGTGGCCAGTGCAGTGAGAGGACACTACTACATCTTAACCTGCTCACCACTTGCTTCCCTCACCAAGGGAAGGAGGCTTTTTTTTTTTTAAAGTGTGTCCATCTTTAATGAGGGACTCCTGCCTCATTCAGTGAGCACTAGCCATCTTGTGATGTGTAGGGCTGCCAATTCTGCAACTCCTACCAAGACTAGGGATGAGTGGCCCAGTTTCAGCCCCACCCATGTTAGAAGATTGGGGCTCCTGAAAGTTACCAGAGACACTTATTTTCAGATGAATGAAAAGAGGAACTGTACAGCAAAAGAACTAGAGCCCCCTCTAGCTACTGTAATCTAACAGTCTTGGCATTTATTTGCTGTTACTGACTGAACCAACCTTCACTCTACCCAGGTTGGGTTTCTGAGACTATATTCAAATAAATCAGGCACTTACAGGTTTGCAGAGACGCCTGTAAATGTTAGGTTAAGTGCTGATCAGCTCCCATTCTCATGCTCCACCCCTGCCGCTTTCAACAACCCCATGAATAAGGTCTGTCAGAGGCTAAACACTGCAAGGGAACCCAGTGGTCCACGACAGCAAGACATTCACCAACCCCCTATGCCATTAGAAATCTAACTCCCAAGCAGCTATATTGCTCCCACAGTTGCTGCTGTTCAACCCTCCACAATCTACCAGCACTGAAATGCCACTTCAGATATCCCTAACCTCACCGAGACAGGGGAGTCCCCACATTGGGTCTGATACAAAAGTAAACAGCTTGTGCACTTCGCCACCATGAACTTATCTTAGTAACTAGTACTACTTGCTTTCCAAGAGTGCAGACTCAGGCTGACTTCCTTTCCTTGCACAAACCAGCAAGGAACTTATAGGAATGTTGCAACTGGAATAAACATGACTGGGAGGTTTGCATGTTATGTTTTCGATGGGCTTAAGTATATTTGATGTCTATTCCCATTTCATAACACTGCATCCAACTGTAAAAACACCTCTTTGGACCGAGTTTAGTGCTAGTTCC